CAGGATCAAACGACGATGCACGATCTCCTGATGCATCAATCCGAAGGGTCGCAAGGAGGGGCCTCGAAGTACGAAGTCGTTGCAGCAAAGCGAGTCTGTTGGCTTTGCAATTGGCCAATGGTCCTTTTCGTGACGGTGCGATGGGTCCGTGTTCGATGCGTGAGGAATGCGGTGAGATGGCGTCCGAGTGGCCAACTTTGGTTGCTTTTCGTCGTCGGTAGTGGCAACCCACTGGATTGATGCATGCAGAGTACAATGTCGTGGGGAGTGAACTTACCAGTAACGCGGGTGACGGTTTCCTTGCCCGACATATCGGTGACGTGGACGAAGGTGTCGTTGAACGAGGCGAAGATGCTGTTGGTGGATAGTGTCAAAATGACGCCAGATGTATGAGTATCTCTGTCGTACTCGCTACGATGATTTGCCCAGCACGTCGCAGTCGCCTTTTGAATCGCCCTACTCTCCTGCATCCGCCAGAACTGCCTCGCATGCTGGCCGAAATCCTGGCAATGCAGCAACGCCCATCGTTGCTGACGGGAAGGAATGATTGTGCCGATGTTCCAACGTGCCGAGCTCTTTCCTCTGCGTCCCCCGTTTGTTCGCTTCGTAACGATTGCCATCGACATTCGCTTGTGCGCGAGACTGATACAATCCAACGTCCCACAACTGCTACGCTCCTGCACTAATCAAGTCATCCTCCAAGTGGGAGGTGTGCTGGAACCTCCAACGACTCTGATCCCTCCAATACTGCTGTGCTGGTATGCTGCGACGTGCTGTTGTGGCAAGGTGTGAAGGCTGGAATACTTACTGAGCAACGCCGAAGACGAGCTCGCCCTCACCAACGTTGGGGCCGAGGGAAACCTCTTGAGGAGCAGCACGGACCTTAGGAGCCATCTGTGCGATCAGTGGAGAAGGTTGGATGCGGTGTTGTGGTGGTGCGAGGGCAAGGTCGATGGTGGTCGATGTAGAAGTGTAGTTTGGAACCGGGGTGACAGGTCGAGACAAAAGGTAAAGGTTTCGGATGGATTAGAATCTTGCGTTCGTAGCGTGGATGATCGATGCCTTGCAAGGTACAGCTGTGGTGTATGCTGCAGTGCGTTGCTGTCGTGGATATGCTTACCTTGATGTATGTGTGGTTGGTGTTCAGAGACGACGATGAGCACGCTGCGCGATGGTGAAGCCTTGCCTCGCTCTCCGCACCGCTGTCCCGAACCGCGAAGCACCTGCGCTTGCCCGCCCGCTCAACGACCCCAGTCCCGCAGCTGCCTCGAATCGAGTCCACCTGGCTGAGTCCCGAGCTCCAGGCTTGCTTGCGTAGATCCCAAGACCAGGCGACACCGCGCTCTGCTGCCGTCGTTGTTGGAACTGCAATCTCGTCAAGTCTCCCAGCCACGCGCTCAGTCTCTGCTGAGGCTCCAATTTCCAAAATGCTGGTCACGTGCCAACACTTTCGCCAAGGTAGAGCTCGGCCGAGGTCTGATTTGGCAGGAAGCACCTCGCGCCGGGCTGGATCCAAAATTCCGACTGCTGGCCAGAATCCACACAGCCTGGCCAAGACGGCTCCGGGGCGTCGCGCAGGTCTGGCAATCGAGAAGACTCGAAGTCTACAGGAGCGTACAGACAGCTGGAGTCGGAGACAGCTGGGTGGAGCTGGCAACGCTCGAACATGCGGGCGGCCGCGCCGTGCGGAGGCCACCAAGGCGCGTTGCTCGCCATCCGATCCTCCTTCTGCTTCTACAGGAACACCTCACCACATACAGAGATCCGTCAAGATGGTAAGCATCAGCACGAACGACACCAATGCAGCCGTTGAATCGAGCACATATCGCAAAGCAGCAGCCTCAGCAGCCGACGTTGGACCCATCGGCATGTCATAGGGAACGGCCCGCTTAATCGACCCCGACGAGACAATCACCGCACACCATGTCTCGAATGCCGCGCGACCAGATATCGACACTGGCAAAGAGCATGGAAGGCATAGGACGACGTAGCACAGTCGCCAGAACAATGGCAAGGGGCGTGATGGACATCAATATCGAGTCTACACGTCGATCGACCTGCACTTCAGACGGAGTGCCGCATCTCGATCCAAGCTTCATCAGCTCACACGACATGGAAGCGCTGAATTCAGGTCCCGTCGCTCAACTGTAGAAGTCGCATCAGCCCTGCCACGGTCATGCACGTTCACCAGCACCCAATTTTTGATACCGAACCGGAGCGGAAAGCTGGATGATGGATAGGTGGTCGCTAGGATGCGCCTAGGGGACAACGAGAGGGGCGGGGAAGGCAACCTTTACAATCCTGGCAGCGCCATCGCCTCCGACCGACTTGATACACGCAGCGGCTGCATTGGGACGACACTTTTGCACATCGACTGTATCAGCATGTTGACCACATATCCGTCTCGCGTTCTCACGATAACAGCCCCAGCAGATTACCGACATCAAGAAGTTCCTTGAGATTGCTCGCAGAAAGGACGCCTCGGCGGCCCGCGTCAAGAGCACCACCCGTGCCGACGGCAAGCAGGTCACCAAGTTCAAGATCCGCTGCTCGCGCTTCCTCTACACCCTCTCGGTTGACGACAAGCAGAAGGCTGAGAAGCTCAAGCAGTCGCTTCCCCCTGGTCTTAACGTTGTCGAGATCGGCAAGCCCGTCAAGGGCCGCAAGTAAATGCTCTCCCGGCCTTTTACTTTCGACTCGGTCTCCGACAACCTCTCTTCCAGCATGATCCGACACTTTTACTTCTTCACCGCCAGCGCTAGGCAATTCTCTTTGCCGTGAACACGCACAGTCCTCTATTCAGGACAATTCCTACGTTACGGCCCAGCTTTTCAACGGCGCAGGCCCGATCGCTCGTTCGCATCCTCCTACACCACCATCATCCCAAAATAACCTTCACGGGCGTGCGTGCTCCGAAAGGATAGCCGCCCTTTGTAACATGCAGACGCGTGGCAGGCTCGATGTCCATAAGCACCGGGCTGATCATGTCGTCACACAAGCACATCTTTGACCGCGGTCAAGAATAACACTCCGTTTAAGCAGAACTCAAGTGCAGGGCGTGGCACGACAAAGTGCAGCGAGCGTCGAGAGAGAAGACGAAACATGCGCGAGAGCAAAGTTGAGGAAAACAAATGCAATTGGGAACGCGAGCAAAAAGATACGAATGATGGGGATGCTGGTGGCAGTGATGGCCAGAAGAATGCGAAGTAGGCACGGGGAGAAAGAACGAACAATACGAGACTATGCTTTGCGTTTAGAGTGAGTTTAGAGTCTGTTGAGGTTATGCCCTCTTCGACTTTTGCTTCTTGATGACGACGGTATCGGTGTAGCCGACGAGTTGGGGTTTGGCCAAGCTGGTGACTTCGATCTGATACTTTCCGGGCTTGACATTGGCGGGAACGGTCCAGTCGAACCTGCCGCACTTTTCGCCCGTGCCCATGTCGTTGCACTTCCTGTTCGAGAATCCATGAACGCTTCCGACTTTGTTGGTGACAGTGTAGGTCTTGAGACCGGAGGTACCGTCGGCAGGTGCCAACTCGATGCGCAAGCCACCTTTGGGTGCATTGAGCCAATTGATGTAGACACCCTCGTTCTGGTGCCAGATCACCTGGCATTGGTAGTGATCGCACGAGGGATAGTTGACATACAACACCTTTCCGCGAGGATCATCGTTCGATGCTTGACCCGATACAAACGGAAGTGCAAGCGCAGTAAGCGCTGCAACGAGGGAGGTGATTCGAACCATGATGTGATAATGCGAGATGGACAGAACGTGTGTAGAGGCGGTGAAAAGAAGTACGCTCTAGAAGTGAGAGAGAAGGACGATGACGGACGCAGGGACAGCAGTCAACTTCAGCGTATGCACGACAGGGGACTCTACCGCAAACCTCATGTGCCTGTATCGACCCACTTCCTCTTCCTTCTCCCACTCCTGACCCACACCCCCAGCCAACGCCATGCAGCTCCCTTCGGCACTGACATAGGCAACCCGACGACGCTGCAGAGGCACTGGTCTATTGTTGTTCAGTTGCGCTGTGCTCAAGCGTGTTGATCGCTGGCGGCACCTGAAACGCCGACAATGGAGCGTCGGAGCGCCGGAGCACCGCAACACGCGCCCGCGCCCGCACACGCACCGAACCTCCGGAGCCTTCGGTTGCATAAACGACCTCGCTTTTAGCCGAGCGTCGATCCCCTGTCACACCCCGCCACCCGCGTCTGTTGTTTCTTTTCCGCTCACGCCCAAAGAAAAAGGCAGAGGCGATGCAGGAGAACACGCTTGAATTCGGCACCTCCAAGGGCTGCATGGCAAGACGCCGCTACAGCTCGGTTTCTACATGCTGCGACCTTCTGTCCTGGAGGTCGAACTTGTTCTTGAGCCCAGCGCCTGCCGATTTGGCCGTCTGGCCTACCCAGTCGAGCGTGCGCACCGGCTTGTACTGCTTGATGCCCTTGTGCTGACGGTGCAGCTCGTCCTTTTCCGCCTTCCATTCGGCGAATTTCTGCTTGAGCGAGCGCGAGCGCTCCACGCCGCTCCCATCGGGCGTGTCCAGATCCGCGCTGCTCGACGAGCCTCGTGCTTCCCCGCTGTCCTCTCCGAGGGTTGGGTCACCGCTCGCCTTTGACGCCCTGGCTCGTGGCTCCCGGTCGTTCTCGTTGTCCGAGTCGGATGAATATGCCTCGCCAGGCTCCGACTCTCTGTCGGCCTCATCGACGTCTTCCAAGTAGCCGTCCTCGTTGAGGCGCGCATTGGCAAAGTCACCCGACACGCTCCTCAGACCCAGCGCGGTGCAGACCCGCCATGCGTCCATGACGATCTTGGCGCCCGGGTTATTGTCGAACTTGGTGTGAATCTTGCCCAGCCCGGACTTGAACTGCATCTTGACGTGCAGATACCCGATGCGCTCCACACCGAGCGCCTCGGCCTCGGCCTCGTTTTTGTAGTTGTGGTAGTTCTGTCGCAGGCGGTGGAAGTCGTTGCCCGGCAAAGGACGCCAGATGGGCAGGCGCATGTCGGCCACGTCGTCGTCGAGCATGTCCTGCATCCAGATGATGCTCATCAGGATCGTCTTGCGCTTGCCAAGCGCGCTGAGAGCACGGAATTCGATCACGTACGGCGCCGCGTACCTTCTGCGCGCAGGCACCTTGTACGGGAATTCGGCTTCGTCCAAGCCCCACTCGACTGCGTCTTTCGACTCTCTGTCGACGTACCTCGCGCGGTTGGCCGCGATCTTGGCGCTGCCTGCCAGCGTCGACGCGCGCAGCGCCACGAGATGCACGTCGTGAGCGGACGCGCCTTTGGCCTCGTCAAAGTCGGTCGCGACGGGCGAAGAGAGCAGGCGGACGGTGCCGATGTTCCAACCGAGCTTCTTCCTTGCGCGGCTGGTGTGCTGAATCGGGCGGAAGAGCAGCGAGAGCCGGATGCGGCCGTGACCAACCCCGCCGGCGAGAGGGAAGAACTGCGTCACCTGTGAGCTCTGCTTGAAGAGCTCGGACAACTTGATCGGTACCACGCCCAGGATGGCGTCGGCTTCGCGCACTCGGAAATCGTAGACGACGACCATTACGAGCGTGCGCCTCCAGTCGCGGATGAAGCGCTCGGTTCCGGCATTGTAGAAAGGATTCGAGTTGAGCGCCTTGGTTCGTGTCTGGAAGACGATTTCATCGTTCAGAATGATGCGGGCGTAGGCAGATGGTGCCTCGTCCGGGTCGTTCTCGGTTTCCGCGGCTTCGACGTCCTGACCCGGCTCGTTTTGACGTCGGGGTCGCTTGGAGCGGTGATGGTCAGTGACCTCGAGTCCTGCGATCTGGTGAATCTGCAACGACAGGATACCCGATGGCAGGCGAGGGTCCGGAGGCTCAAAATCAACCGCAGTAGCTTGGTGCCGCGTCTGTTTCTTGCGCTCCTCGTCGATCGCTGCTTGGGAGAGAGGGCTGTCTTTCTCGATCGTACCGTCTTCGAGCTCGCGTCCGTCGCGCTCGGGCTCGCTGTCAACTTCGACATCCGTTTCTTGATCACCTGCATGAGCATTGCGACTGTCGCGAGCGGCTGCTTGATCGTTGCCTTCCGCTTTGCGGTCCTCGGACTTGTCCTTGTCGGCAGTCTTGGCGCCTTCTGGCTTCCTCGTGCTCGGTGCTTTGGAGAAGAAGCCCAAGCTCCAGGAGACCGTGCCCTGCTTGGTTCTCTCGCGGTCCAAGCCCTTGAGTGTGTCTCGTCGCCTGTAGAGCCGGTTGGGATGCTTGGCCAAGTCCACCAAAGGAACTTCGGCACAGCCGAGCATGTCGTCGGCGGAGAAGCGGTCCGAGTCCCAAAGCGCGATGGAGACCTTGTCTTGCGAGTCGAGGTGCTCCCTCGTGACCAAGATCACATGTCTCTCCTCCCAGCGCGGCGAAAGCTCACTCAGCACAACGCGTGTGCTGTAGAGGATCTTGCCGACCTTGGCGAGGCTGAGGGTGCAGTAGGGATCTGAGCCACCGCGCAGGTCCTGCGCCTCGAGATCCTCGGCCGAGTGGATGTAGACGACGACGACACCGAGCGCATTGACTTCTCGCTTGATGTTGTCGCCCATGAGCATCTCGCCGACGTCCATTGTGAGCGACGAGGGCATGACGAACTCGCCGACGGCAGCGTCGATGGAGCTCTCGATAAAGCTCGACAGGAAAGGGATGTGGGACGTGTTGATGTGCAGAGGGACCACCTCGATGCCGACGCGGGGCAAGCCACAGAAGGTGAACGTGACGTTCTTGACAAAGGGCGGGTCGGAGGTGAGCTGGACGCGCGCACGAACGACGCCGACGAAGCCTTTGATCTCGACCCAAACGGGAAGAGGCAGCATGAGCAGCTTGCGGGCACCGATCCAGAACTTGATGAGGAGGTGCGCATTCCGTCCCTTTGCACCGACGGTGCTCGAGGTGGGCCGAGCGCGGTAGACGAAAGCGAGCTCGAGGTTGACGTACTGCTCGCCGGTGCCCGCTTCCTCCTGTCTCTTGGCTTCGCGTTCGATGATGCTTTCCGTGTGATGGTTGCCAGTGCCGCTTTCGTCCTCGCGAGGCGCACTTCCTAGATCCCTTTGTTGTTCTTTGACATGCTTGCGCATATCCTGCTTTAGGCTTTCGACGTGGTCCTCGGGGAGGATGCGAAGTCCTGTGATGCGGACGGGGGTGGAGCCTTGAGCGAGGTCTTCGACCTTGACCGAATGGATGAAACCAGGGATGGAAGCTTGCATGACATCCTCGAGGGTGCCTCCGAGAGTGGAAAAGAGCTCGGGATTCATGACGGACCACAACGAATCGAGAATGGCATTGAGCCATTCGGCACCCTCCGAGATTCCTTGACTGTAGCTGTCGTCGCCCTCGCCCTGGGCTCGAGTGTCAAAGGCTCGCGTTTGTTCGCCTCTCAGCCGCTCCTGGTGCCATCTTTGATCCTCTGCGCCGGACAACAAGGTGCGCCATGCCCACCACAGCATCCACGCATTGAGCGCGACGCTGATGAGTGGCGGGACCCAGCCTAGACCGGTCAGCAGGGCCCAAAGTGCAAAGACGGGGAGTAGACCGGGATGGATCTTGGAGACTGAGTCCGGCAGTGGCTGAGCAGGAGGGAATGCCTGCGACGTGACGTTGTCGGCGAGGCGAGAGCGAAGGACGTTTTCTCGGCCTGCGGCATCGCCGGCATCGGCCATGCGCAGCGTGCGGCGGTACTCGCGCTTGCCGATGTCGTGAACCCAAGTGGTCTGTCCGGTGATCGGGTCCTGGACCTGACGAGGCTTGCGACTGCGCTTGTAGGCCTTGTCGACCTCTTCGGGCCGTCGATGCGCTTGCTTACCGTTCTCGTCGACTTGGCGTTCCTCGGGCTCTGCCCGGAGCGAAGTGTCTTTGTCGTCGGCGTGGTCTTGGTC